AAAAAAAGTTTTAAAATATTACTCAACAAAATTTTGTCTATCAAAAAACATCAACATCCAGCTTTAAGAAAGATACATTTTATTACGCAAAAATTCAGTCACGTGATCATACCGTTCAATCGGAATCAGAGACAACAGTTTAAGGTGACGACAACGATCGTGATTTCATACAGATTTAACGCATCGCAGGATTGGAGCAGTATTCCTCTGGACGCTTGCAAAATTCGTGATCATAAAATAGACAAGTATCGTTTTTTTCCGATTATTACATTTTTCATTCATTTTCATGAAAAGATGAATTAGACCTTTTAAAGTTCATTCCGTTGGGTAAAAAGGCAAGATTTTAGCATTTTATCAGTCAAGCGCCTTGTACGGTATTTAGTATGGTGCTCCAAGCCTTTATTTAGTCTCACTCATTTCAAACACATGGCGCGAGACGAGATATAGATAAATTCACTGGTTTTATATTTTCCAACAAATTGTAAGTACGATCTAGTTTACGGTTTTCAATGCCCAAGTTTTGCGCTCATTATTATTGTAAATCTGTTGTCATCGACATAAACTGTTGTCTCATTATCCAATTAGACACGAAAATACAAATTTTAGAAAAATAATATATATATATAAAAATTGTAATATACCAGTATGAGTATCGTGGCTACAGAGACACATCCCTTTTGTACAGTGGAGCCACCAGCCATGCGATTGATTACAAGTAGTTTCTGCACAATCACTCGCAGTTCTACAGTTTTCACCATATACAGTGGCTGAAAATTTTTAAGGGATCAAATAATGGCATAAACAGCACGAATTTAAATGTCACAGCATCGTCAATGAGTGTTGCGTTCATGAAAATTTGGCTAGCTAGATGGAGTACGATATGGGTTTGATATCTAAAAAAATAAAAGGAGACTATTTGGGGTATGGTATTTAATTAATATGAACCTTTTGGACTCTGAAAATGAAAACGAAGTTGTAACAGAGTTTTGTAATATGGATTTGATATGAATGTTTTTGGACTCTGGAAATGAAAACGAGGATAAATTAGATTGGATCCAAAAATGATTTCTGTTGGAACATCACGTGATGCAATTGCTTGAAGGTTTATTGGTTACATTTTGTAAAGTGTGAAATAATTAATCATGCATGTAATAAACGCAGTAAATAAAGCAAAGTTTGAACTGGTATAGCTTGTGACATGAGTTGGCGCTTAATCTAAAAAAGAAGAAGATTAACAACAATACTTCTTAGTTTAATAGTTATTTTACATAGAAACACACAGGAAGTCATGTAATTAAAAAAGGTATATTAATAGACTGTCTGTAGTTGGTAGAATGTTTGTCTGTATCTTAAGAAAAAATTATTTTGTTAGGCAAAATTGACCTGAAACTGATTTATCATTAGGAAAGTTTTCATAATAGTTTCCGTAAATTATCATATTTTATTCACTCATTGTAGCTACTAATAAGGTTTTTGGTTACTAGTCTCATGATTTTGTGGTAAAATCGCAGGAGTTGTAAGTTGAATCACCCACAAACAATTTATTTTATTGTAATTTCTTTAATTTACCCTTTGAACTTTTATTACATATATATGGTTAAAATCGTCATCTTTGTGCAGTAACGGGTAAAATCCTTATATAATTTAATAGGACCTGTTGCTGCACTTAGGTTACGATATGGCCTCATGGATATAGTAAGATCGCAATCATTGTAAGTTAAATCACTGAAAATAAATTTCATTGAAATTTCTTTAATTTTCCTTTGAACTTTAATTTTTCTTTGTATTTTAATCAAAACTGTAAAAAGAAATGACATATTGTGTTGATTTACTCGGAGTCAAGTACATTATCAAGGTAGATAATGCATCTACCGTTGTAGTATAGTGTATGACTTTATAAATTAAAAGATGTAACTTGGGATACTGTTGAATAGGTTTTAACTCATTACAGGACTGGAGCAGTACCTCTAGACGCTTGCAGAAATCATGATCACAAAATAGACAAATATCGTTTTTCGTTTTATTCTTACACTTTTAATTCATTATCTTGAAAAGATGAATAAGACATTTTAAAGTTCATTCCGTTGGGTGAAGAGGCAAGATTTTTGCATTTAATCAATTAAGACCTTTGTCCGGTAGATACCGGAATAAGGTATTTAGTTTGGTGTTCCAATCCTTTTTGTCTCCCTCTTATCAAAATAGTTAACGAATTATATCTAATTCACAGTGCAAAAAGTAAAATAACCAATATTTACCTGCAAAAGCAACAAGTAAAATAACCAATATTTACCTGCAAAAGCAATCAAGCAAAATGCTATCAAAGTCTTCATTTTCAATATTAACGTGCGTCGTTCGAGTATTCCGTTAAACAATGCACTGGAGATAGGCGCATGTTTGAATAAATACGGACACCGCAATCTTAAAAGAGCGTACAAGAGGTGATAAGACATTTTATATGGGATATTACATGTCACGATTTTAAAAACATGGAAGGTTCAGTATTCAGAACATATACTCTGAGGGTCAGTGTATCACTTTTTCACATTCACGATTTTTATAAGTACAAAGTTCAAGGTTCGATACGTTTAATACGCCTCTCGAACATGCATAAATATTCTTAAGTTTAAAGTTTTAAGTTTAAATTCAAAATTCCACGAAGCATTAAATGATGCCGTTAAGAAACGGTGGTGGTGGTGGTAGTTTACCTTCCAAATCACGGCGGTAATCTACATTGAATTAACCAGAGAACAGTTAAGCTACCGCATCGTTCCTGGGAAGACTGTCAAGCAGTATTCCAGTACTACAGTTGCCTTCACTTTCGCAAGGAACTAAATTAAATTTTGTAATGCCAAAAAAAGAGATGAAAGTAAAAAATTTGCGGGGATAAATCAAAAAACGAAAATTAAACCTGAAATTTCCAAAGGAATCAAAAAGGGACTAAATAGCCCAAAACGTTCTTCTTTATTGTGCAAACCCGGGACGGTTTGTTCCTTTAAGCCCTGGCAAAAAATTTCCTGAAAATTAAAGAAAATTTTTGGCTAAAATGACCCCTTTTAAATTTTTAACAAAAATTTACAAATCTTTTAGATGGGAATTTAACGAAAATTATCCCTTTGCAATAAATATAATTTTTAAAAAATTTCAGCTGGGTTTTCACATAATAGAAAACTGATAAATAAAAAACGTCCCAAGCCTCTAAAAAGGGGTTTTGAAAAGTCAAAACAACTTTTTTAGTGAAATCTTCAATTTTGTGTAAGAAACATGCGCGTCGGTATGTGCATGTGCAACTTTGTAATACTGCTTCATTGAAATATCAATGTCATAGACCCATTGGTATAATACCCCAATCCAGCCACACTTACATCTTTACTATCACATTGGACACATTAGTCCCAGAAATAATGGCAACGTCCCCTTTATGCTGACTATAATAGCGTCAAATTCATAATGATCTTTTGCATTAGCAAGCTGTGGACCGACTAACAGACATGAATGGTATGGTATGGGGTGGTGCGGCGCAGCGCGGCGCGGCGCGGCACGGCACTGTTCTGTTCTGTACTGTACTGTTTTGTTTTGTTTTGTATTGCATCGTATCGTATCGTATTGAAGGCTTAATGAGTGTCCGTCCGCCCTTTCAGGCACTGAGAGTATGGACCCCGGACATGTCACCATTCTGGTCCTTAAAGGTTATTATCTATACCAAAAGGTGACCTATAAATTTAAATGAGACTACCGGTATTATATCTATTATATGCATCATGGAGAAAAAATTAAGTGTTGCTGCCAAAATAAATGATCATATATCTTTCAGACGAGCTTGACTGACTAACTACCAGGCTTCCACTATATTGCATTTAAATGGTACATGTACTTCAATTTACTTCTAGTACACCAATAATGCTCAATGACAGAAGGTATTCAAAACGATGGATGCAATATTGAACTACACATCAAATGACTTGATAATTCATTATTTTTCTAGCATGCATTCAACAAAGTCAACAGCATAGATACATATTCAAAATATAAAAAAAAATAACTATCAAAAAAAAAGTTTAAAAAGTCCGTTTCGAATCATAGTGATTTGCCATCAGCATTTTAGCACTAGTGTCTCGAACCAATGTCGCAAGTGGCATTGCCGTAGGGGCCACCATCATTTTTAATTTTGGCAATTTTGATGAGCTATACCGTCTTTCTTCGGGGAACATAATTCGATCGATTTCTTTCATTTCTTTCAACGTTTCTTTAGCATTATTTGCTTTTTTAACGGCCTCTATAGCCGAGTGTCCCTTTTCTTTCCTTTTTGAGGTCCTACTTTTTTCGTCCTGACTTCTCCTGAGAGGTGACGGCGTGTAGTGATACGCAAAATCTCCTTTGCGCTCAGTTGTTTCAAAAGTCTCGAAACATGATGGTGTTGGCATATCGTTTAATTTTTTAATAAGCAGTTTATGTTTTGAATGGTCACTTTTAATAACTTTCCTCCTATTGATGTCTTTAGTTGAACTTACAAACCTTGTTGAATTGGATTTCCGCTCCGGACTACTTTTCTTCGAACTATTTCCATGATCGGATACCCTTGGGGTCGATCTTCTTGTTCTGCTTCGGCTCTTGCGCGAGCGATCTTTCCGGAAAGGTCTTTCATGTCTCGAACTAGCACTTGAACACCTGCTGATTGTTCCAACCGAGTGACTATCACTTCCGTCACTGCGCTTGCTTGATAAACTTCTTTCCCTAGGTTTTCTTCCAGAGCGCGGCCGACGTCTGGTAGTATGTGCAGTGTTTTTCTCAATCCCTAAAGTCCGCGGACTTACTTGCCGAACTGCATTTGATAATGTGTTTTGTTGTGTTTCATCATCAAAAGAAATAGCCATTTCGAAAAAGCTTCCACTACTCGGCACGGGTTTCATGGCATCATTGCTGTTATCTTTTTGTGGACATTTCCGAGAAATAGAACTTACACTTTTTGATCTCTTTCGCGGTTTCGAAAAACTAGGTCGTTGAGGCACGTGTCTTAAACATCCGGCACTTTTAACACGGCCGCCCTTTTCCTTATACGCGGTGTCCCCAATTATTTGGTCTCTGTCTAGTCTTTCAAATTTATTGTAGAAAGAGCTATCAACACTTGGTGACCGTGACATTGATTTAAGCACGTGCTTATCAACATGTGCCGAAGAAGGTCTATTTTTAGTAACACGAGTAGTTCCAGCAGACGACGTGTTTTTGTTTGAATCACACTGTTCACTTTGAGTTCTTTGAATCGTATTGCCTTGTACTAAAAAGTTAATATTCAAGGGCACCGGCTGCCCTTTCGGAAGCATTCTCTCCGGCGCCGACGGTGGCTTATTTGGAGACGCAGGAGGTCTATATTTTAGTATATTGCGACTCATATTTATTTGAAAGTCGTAAAATACTGGAGAAAAATATCGTAATCTTTAAAGGTTTCATTTAAATATTTGCTTTTAAGCCCGTATCAGTTGATCACTATTCACACCGTTTAGTAAAGTCATTCAAAGAGTACTGTTTTATCGGCTGCTTTAACAACTGGGGACTCGATGTCTCTCGCTTTAAACACTGTTCATGTTGGTAAAATTTGATCCAGTACCTCTTAACCTTAATGAATACTAAATTCCATCATGCCCGAACATTACTTATCTTAAAATATTCTTAAAAGTACAAATTACACTTAAATCACTCGTTCACTCGTCAATATGAAAATTCCGTTGATACAAATTATCCCGGTAAAATCTAATTCTGATAATTAGTTAGCATTTTCACATGTATTGCCATACAACACGTTAACAGATGCGATGCATAAACTTTTGAAAATGATGATGAAGCTGTTTTTCGAATAAGTTTATTAAATCCTTTTTATTGAGCACTTTGTTTTTATTATATACACTGACTTAATTAAAAATACGAGCGGTTTTGTATGTTATTATGTCAAGAGTCAAGTATATCCGATATCGAAGATTCAAATTTCAAGCAGTAAACGAGGCCCGTATATCAGAATTCTAAACCAACGGTTACATGTACTTTTATTCTTACGTTGTGTCAATAGACAGTTAAACTCTAACTTTAACTCTTGTCACATCAGGGATTTGAAAACAAATTCAGAACGCCGCGACGAGAATGTCAAGCATCACTGTGGCACCGCCGCATCATCGCAATGGCATTGTTTTGAACGCCGGACGTCAGTGCCCGTCACTCATCGTTCTGATAAGAGCGCAGGGATTCCCAAGCGGCGCTGTAAAATCTCCTAAAATAGCATAAGAATTGCCGCAAAAGCGCAGAAGTGTCACCGTGTGAACGCTGAGGTTATCTGTGACGTTCTAACGGAGATTATACGACGTTCTCTATGACGCTATGTTGCGTTTAATTTTGCGCTAATACAGTTTGAGCGCTGAAAAAAGTGCAGTGTGAAATCGCTGAGAACGCAGTGGATTCGTCGTGTGAACGCAGACAATCGCAACCAGAAACGCCCTAAGAACTCAATGGAAACGCCGCGGAGGCTCAGTTGTACCGCTTTGATCGCCATGACAACGCCTTCACGAAAGACTTTGGATTTCCGTGCTAACGCAGTTGAAATTTCTTTAAAAAGTGTAACACGGACATTAAGCACCCATATGTCATATTTTGACAAGTATGAATATGTTAAAAAATTAAATGTTCTAAATATTTTACGTCAATCAATAGTTCGTGTAATGTCGACAATTTTCGTCAGTTTCCGTATTTTCTTGCTACTGAGAAGCATTTAAATGTTGATCCAAAAGAGATGGCAAGGGCGAGGCTATAAACCTATTGCAAAAGATTCTATGGCTGAAAAACTACCCCTTTCCACCCCCAACATACCCCGCTATCATTATTTGACAGAGCTGTTTGCTGATCATATTCCCTATGAAGAATCATGATGGATTTAAAACTGTTTCTGAATGAGAAAAGAAAAACATGATGAGTCGGTTCATGTAGGATAACATCATAATTTATTCCCCAAATTACCCGTACTTGAAACTGTATTTAATAACACATCCCCATGTTTCAAACCGTTCTTGTAACCACATTTAATAGCATATCCACGTTCTTGTAACCGCATTCTATAGCATATCCCCATGTTTCAAGTCATTCTTGTTACCACATTTAATAGCATATCCCCATGATTAAAGCCGTTCATGTAACCGCATTTAATAGCATATCCCTATGATTAAAGCTGTTCATGTAACCGCATTTAATAGCATATCCCCATGATTAAAGCCGTTCATTTAACCGCATTTAATAGCATATCTCCATGATTAAAGCCGTTCATGTTACCGCATTTAATAGCATATCCCCATGATTAAAGCCGTTCATGTAACCGCATTTAATAGCATATCCCCATGTTTCAAGCCGTTCATGTTACCGCATTTATAGCATATCCCCATATTTCAAGGCTTTAATATTATTACCCCTGCCGGCATTTACTTTGCTTCTTATAACAGCATATCCCCATGTCTCACCTCGATATATAAAAATAATATATGTCATTACCTTTTATCATAAAAACATTAACAAAAATCTATACAAAAATCAATGACATTATTTCAAACAATCTACGTGCCCAAAAACTTATCTTTTAAACTACAAATTGTCTTCAACATCTGTGTTTAATTGTAAACTATAAACGGTCCCTTTGTTTGAAGAAATAATGCAGTGATAAAATGCGAAGATTATTCATTCAAATTATAAAATTCGTGTGTGGATATTTCGAATGTTGGGGGTATTTGAAAAAAAAGGTTTTATATAAAAATGATACAAAACACATTTTAACAGGTTATATTTTAAGCCAATTAATTATTTTAATATCGGTTAGTTTTTAATGATTAAAGTGTAAAATCAGCATGTTGAAAATCACAAAAGATAATTCTGAATCGAGAATGAGGTGGGATTATTGAATGATAGGGATGTGATGAATGATAATGAATGAATGAGATATTCAATGATGATTCATTTATGAATAATAGTGGTGACAATTGAGGTTTGATCAAGTGAATGATGATGATAAAAATGCTGCAAATTTGATGATGACCGATGATGAATAATTGCGATGATGATGATGATAATGATGATGACGACGACGATGATGATGATGGTGGTGATGATGATGATGATGATATTGATGATAGTGATGATGATAATAGTGGTAGTGATGATGATGGTGATGTTTCTGATGATGATGGTAATAATGCATCTGATGATGATGATGATAATGATGATAGTTCTGATGATGATAACGATGCTGCATTTGATGATGACGATGATGATAATTGCGATGATGATGATGATGATGATGACGACGACGACGATGATGATGATGATGATGGTGATGATGATGATGATGATATTGATGATAGTGATGATGATAATAGTGGTAGTGATGATGATGGTGATGTTTCTGATGATGATGGTAATAATGCATCTGATGCTTCTGATGATGATGATGATGACGATGATGATGATATTTCAAATTTTAAGAGTTGCTTATTTCTATAAAATGTGTATTTCATTTCGAAAATACTTGCTAGCTCAACATTATTAACAAACAGATAAAAAATATCAATAATATTACCGCAACAGTACATGTACGAACGTTATCACGGTATGGAACCATACACCGGATATAAAACCGTAACAAAATCGAAAATTATAATCACACGCAAGAAAAAAAATCGATTTTTTAGCTCATAAGACCAATCGTATATCAACTCGGCAATCTCCGTCACGTTCTCATAATACACTAATTTGACCCGAATTTGATTTTATATTTCCCTTGCACGGCCCCATACCGTGGTTATTCGAACGAATGATTTTTATCAAATATTTGAACCACGGAATTCAGTTCTTCTTCAATTAAGTTTATTTTAGCTCGGCGCCGGAAATTCCATATGTTTCCGAGGATCATTCAGCGTCCATGCCGGTCCACCTTCTACAGAAGTCTCATCGGGACGGTCTTTTTCATGCCGATCTTCCTAAAAGTCCTGTACTTCGTTCGAATGGAGGAAAGACAAAATACTGGAAAAGCATCAAGTTTCCGTGACGGCTTGCAAACCAGGCGGTTGACAATAAAACGGCTCTTGTTAGCGCCACCCTCCAGAGTTAGTCACGACAGGTCCCAACCAAAATCACCTCTGGTACTTGAGATGACTTGACCTTGACCTGCCGTGTGCCTTCTCCGCGACGTGCACGCCTCTGGAGGGATTTGGAGAAGCGGAATTCAGTAACGAGTGTTAATTAATTAATTTTATAATATTGTACGTTTGTAACGTCATTTTTCATTGGATAAGCGTGACGTGTATATTATTAGTTATAAAGATTCTTGACAGGTTATATGGCCGTATATAAAGGGTTGTTTACAATATAACCATCGCCTTACGGCTCGGGTTATATTTTCAAACAGCCGTTTCTTTTTCAAATGGCGGGGATTTCGAATATTGGAGATGTTATATCCAGTTGCATCCAGTTGAGTGTTTCGGGCAAAATAATATTTAAATTGTATTGCAGTCCATCATTAATGAGGATATACTTACAATTTAGGTGAAAATTTATGAAAACTAAGGTGTAAGGTAAAATATCCTCGTTCAACGGGATTATAACAATAAAAGAATTGTTCTTTTTATATTTCATTTTTATACAATTTCTCCGAAACATACATTGTTTTTTCACTCCGAAATTTGTCATCACAAAACTATGCTATCAGAAATAGAAAAGGTAACCGTATGCAACTATACCCAGTTATATTCATGTAATCATAAAATGGGCTTGAAGTGTTCAAATAGTTTAAATACCTACAGACACTCTTCCATGATTATCTTAATCAATCCTAAAATGGGCTTGGAGTGTTCAAATAGTTTAAATACCTATATAGGCACTCTTCCATGATTATTCAAATGAACATCGAAATGTTGTACCAGCAAAAGTTTGCCTTTGTACGGTAGATCTACAATTATATATGTGTACTGTAAGCACATTATGCCTCATAAATTCTTTTTTTTATTCTTAAGAAATGTCAAACATTTATTCACTAATGCTTTGATAGTGAATTCAGAGCATTTAACAACTGTTAAACAACGGATGTAATTGGAGCTGAACGTGCAGTAATTTGTCACAAAGATAGCAAAATGTAAACAAAGTAGTATTATGACATCCATTCAGAATACTTAGCGCAGTTAGCGGCTATAATTATATCAAATGCCAAGAGGCTGCAAGCCAAAAAGCAGCAAAATGTTAATTTGCGATCAACCAGTTTTTTTTGAAACTGTAATAAGATACCAAAAATAGAAAGAGTTTAAGAAATAAAATTGATAACATGTCTGAGGCATTATGAGTCTTTAACCTAAAAAGGAAAAAAAGAAGAAAA